AACCCCTATGTGTAAAAATCTAGAACACTGTCTAACACTTGATGTCTGTGCTGTTTATTCTTCCTCATCAGTTAGGAACCTAGGTGTGCTATTTGATAGCAACCTTTCCTTTGAAAGTCATGTTTCTAGCATTTGTAAAACCACATCTTTCATCTTAAAAATATATCTAAATTACAACCTATGCTCTCAATGTCAAATGCAGAAGCGTTAATTCATTCGTTCATGACCTCAAAGTTAGATAATTGTAATGCTTTTATTGGGTGGTTGCTCTGCGCACTTGATAAACAAACTCCAGGTGGTCCAAAATGCAGCAGCTAGAGTTCTTACTAGAACCAGGAAGTATGACCATATTAGCCCGGTTCTGTCAACTCTGCACTGGCTCCCTGTTAAACATTGTATATATTAAAATCTTGCTAATTACTTATAAAGCCTTGAATGGTTTAGCTCCTCAGTGTTTGAGCGAGCTCTTATCGCATTATAGTCCTTCACGTCTGCTGCGATCTCAAAATTCTAGCCATTTGATAATACATATCAAAATCAACTGCGGACGACAAAAACCTTTTACCATTTACTGCCCAAACTGGAACAATCTACCTAGCATTGTTTGGGAGGCACACACTCTCTGTCAGTTTAAATCTAGATTAAAGACCCATCTCTTTAACCTGGCATACACATAATACACGATCACTTTTCTATAATTCAGATCCGTTAAAAGACTGTTAGGCTGCATTAACTAGGTCAGCCAGAACCGGGAACACTTCCCATAACACCCGATGTACTTATTTCATCGTAAGAAGAATGGCATCTACACTTATTCTGAGGTCACCGTAGCCACCCAGATCCAGTCCATATCCAGATCAGATGGTCACTGCAGTCACCTGGATCTAGTATCATCCAGTCCAGATGGTGGATCAGCACCTAGAGATGACCTCTACAGCCCTGAATCTCAGCGGAGGCCATGTCAACTAGACGAAATCTAGAGATAGATCCCCTGTGAAGACCTCGTCGTCCATCGGCACAAGACCACGAGAACCAGACGAGTCCTCTGCTCAATCTGATGTGCGTTGCAGCCTGGAATTAAACCACACCATGCTGTTTTCATCTGGCCAGAGGAGAAATGGCCCCCCAACTAAGCCTCGTTTCTCCCAAGGTTTTTTTCTCCATTTCTGTCACCGATTTCTCCATTTCTGTCTGTTTTGGTTCCTTGCCACTGTCGCCTTTGGCTTGCTTAGTGGGGGAGACAATTTCTGGAAATATTGTTGACTTGACTGCACAGACACTATTGGAAGAGAACTGAACTGAGCTGGATGATGACATCACGGAATCAACAATGAATTCACTTTAACTAATAAACTGACTGTTTTCTATTGTCCTCTTGCATTATCAGCACACGTTTTTCCTGTTTAACACTCTAAAGCTGCTTTGACACAATCTGTATTGTATAAAGTGCTATATAAATAAAAGTGACTTGACGCATCAGTTAATCCAGGGTTGTCAAACTCAATTCCTGGATCGAGGACCGGAGCACTGCAGAGTTTAAATTCAATCCTAATTAAACACACCTGGTCCAACTTTTTAGTAATATCAATGATTTAATGAGGCATACTCCTATTTAAGATACAGTGGCTTAATAACCATAGGCTACTTGCAAATGCTCCTGTAAAAAGGGCAATGCATACTGCATTAATTCACTTCTATGATCTAATCTTTCTCAGTGAAAACATTTACTGACAACCTTACTTAGAACACATCTAGGCTGCTTACACTGAAAATGTCAGGTTGATTTATAGTTTTCTATAAATTGCCCCGGTCTGTCTCTCTACATAACATCCAGCAGATGGAAGCAGATATTAAAAATAATACACACGTAACTTTCCATTGTAACTTATTAAACCATTTCCGTTGACATCTTATTCTAATAGCATTGTTCTATGACAAAGACAAACTGATGTTCCAAAAGAAACAATGAATCAATCCTCATCATTCTTGGTACCACCCCAGCAGACTGACGCGAACAGCTGGAGAAGGGCTCGATGTTGTGACGCCCCACGTGTGTTCTGCACGAGAATAAATAGCACGCACGAGCGAGCACACACAGCCGAAAGCACTTCAGCCTGTTAGACACCAAAATGCTGAATTTCAGCGGTTTCCTGCATCAGCACTTCGTGCAGTGAGATTTAATTCGCGGGTGATTGACATGATGATATAATTCGAAAAGTCTGGATGACCTTCTCATCGGAAGCGCTGGGAATGACAATGTCTTCAGTTTTTCCAGTTTTACTTCAGGCAGCTGGAAGCCGCAAACCATAAAGCGCCTCTTCGGTGCAATCTGACACGGACGAATGCCTTAAATATTATTGTCATCATTTGTCATGATGGACTGTCTATCACGCAATGCGTACTGGCCTCTTGTTCGCTTTCTGCTGCCGCTAGCCATTACTAATATAGCCATCGACTTCGGAGAACAGGTGAGATATGATGCCTTTGAACCTGAACACTGCTATTTTGACATGCAACCGCTTTTTACGGCACGAACACCAGTGAAATGTTTGTAAATATACACGTTGGGCTTGTTTAAGTAATGTTAAGTAGTAATGCTGTGTTAGTATTGATCATGCATCTTAGGGTGGCGTGGCGTAGTGGTGAGCTAGTAATCGAAAGGTTTCAGGTTCGAATCTTACTGGGTTTGATCCGTGACGTTCCCTTGAGCAAGGAAACTTTACAATGAAAGTAGATTTTCAAAGTTGAACTGTGTTGGTCGTTTTGTTGTTTTTGTATGTTACCTTGTACATTTGTATTATCTCGTGAATTGTTTTGCCCTTGATAATTTAGCTGAAAAGTTTACAATCTAGAATTTTGACAATCTAGAATTTCCCTGAATGCAACTGGTTTCAAGTCTATTGGTCTTTTCCCCTGCCACTAATAGTGGAAAAGTTCAACAGTTAATTTTTATTTATTTTTTTATTTGCAGATTTTAAGGTAATGTATCTGATTTGACTTAAAAACCTACCCTGGGAAATATGAACTTGGTTAAAAGTGTGACAGCTAGCCCAGGCCTCCCCTAAGTGTAAGTTGCTTTGAAGCATCAGCCAAATTATTAACCAAATTAACAACTTGTTGTCCAGATACCTTTTGTCAGGCATCACTGCAAATAAAACTATGTTCTAACTCTGGCACTTACTGCATGGATAGCCATTTGCTTTAAATTATTGATTGAATTTCCCTGAATGCAATGGGTTTTAAGTCATTTCTCGAGGATGTCATTTCTCTGTGTATGAGTATTCCCTTTGCATAGCATGCTACCAAGACTGCCACTCTTTCTTAAAGTAAGAGGAAACTTCAAAATACATCTGTTTAGAATAAAAACCAATTACAGTAGATTCCCTAAGTGAAATATTGGGTCAATACCTACTTTTATCTTTAAGGGGAGTGTTTTTTTTTTTTTTACATGCATTGATTCCAAAGGTAAAATTCAGGTAGCAACAAATACATAGTGCACAAAAAGTATACATGCATAGATATACGTACATACAAACTTGCATACATACATACATTATGCGTAATCTTTACCCTTTTCATACTACAGTTAACCCTGTGATAACATATTTTTGAACCTGTTGTTAGGTCCATAAATTGCACAAACTGGCCTTGTACAATGTCACTACTGTTAAACCACCATGGAAATATGTGGAAAGGCATGTTAGGAGCTCTGTTATGTCTTTGTTGTTTGAATGTATATGCCACAACTAGATGCTTTTACACTCGTCATACAGTAATTCACAGTGGGCCATATTTAACTGAAAGATTCACTGTGAAGATAATCTCTGGAATTTGTAAGGATGGCCTGGGCATTCAGCATTAGAGGATATTATTTTTATGCAATCAGGATGTTCTGCAGATATACACTGAATGGATAGTAATCAAAAGATGGTTCATCAAGTTCATTTCGGTGCAAAGCTCAACCAAGTTGGGTTTGATAAATAGTTTCAGGCAATATTTTATTTTTGCTCTTTCAGTCTGTGGTACACATTGTTTAACAAGTTTAACATGTGTCTAGGTTTGTGTCCTTTAGTGTTAGCAAAGTGACAGTCTTATTAAGTACCGGTGTGTGTGCATTTGAGCGAGGAGTAGACGGGGTAAGGATTAGTCTTATGTAACTAACGTGTTAGTGTATTTATAGCAGCACTCATCTCTTTTGTTTCTCTTGTTCTTGCTCTGCTATAGGCAGCTATACAGATAAAACTGGAGAGAAACTGGAGTTTTCCATATAGTCTGTACAAGTCGAGTTTTTATATACAGTATACACTGCTCAAAAAAATTAAGGGAACACTTAAGTCAAACATTGAATCTCGATAAACAAAGTAATCAAGTTGAAAATATTTACTTGTACACATTGTGTAATTGGTTGATAACAAAATTGTGACAATAGTCAGTGGAAGCCAAAATCATCAACCCATTGAGGGCTGGATTCAAAATCACACTGAAAATCAAAGTAAAAAGTTACAGACTGTTCCAACTTGCATGAATTTCATCATGGCAACTCGTAATGTAAGTGTGTAGTGTCTATGGCCCCCATGTGTCTGTATGCACGAATGTCTGTGCATGCTCCTGATGAGATAGTGGATTGTTTCCTGCAGGATCTCCTGCCAGACATGGATCAGGGCATAACTAAGCTCCTGGACAGTCTGTGGTGCAAATTAGCGGATTTGGATGCTCCAATACATAACATCCCAGAGGTTCTCAATTGGATTCAGGTCTGGGGAATGTGAGGGTCAGTCAATGCCTTCGTCATCCAGGAGCTGCCTACACACTCTTGCCACATCAGGGCCACGTAAGATCTGACAGTGGCTCTGAGGATTTCATTCTGACAGTTTGGTCAAAAACATGCACACAGCTGGAGGTCATTTCAGAGGGCTCTGGCTGTGCTCCTTCTGTTCCTTCTTGCACAAAGGAGCAGATACTGGTTCGACTACTGGTTGTTGCCCCTGTCCTGCTCTCCTTATGTAACAGCCTGTCTCCCAGAATTTCCTCCAGAATTTCTTGTGGGCATTTGTTATATTGCTGCCGTAAATGCCATAGAACGGCATACTCTTTTAACTATGTGCAAATGCTGCATCACCGTGGCCAAATAAAATAAAAAATAATAATAAAAAAAACTGTGAAGTTGGTAGCCATCTAGTTGAAAAGACTGGATCACAGCTGTATAAAATCTAGCTACAGCGAGACCTGCACCCTTTTAATTCTCTTTCTTTCATTTTAATTATCTTCTGTTACTGTGGCTTCAGTGGAGCGCTCATTTTCAAAACTGAAGCTAATACAAATTATTTGCTGAACTCCATGGCAAAGAGCAGACTATCGAAACTAGCCATTCTTACCATTGAGAATACATAAAACCTTAGATTAAACACCTAAGACATTGTGCAAGAATTTGCTGAAAGTAGTTTTTTTCTTAATGCATTTTGGGCCGCTGTGCCAAAATTGTGCTTGCATGCAGTAGTTTAATAAATACAGCTGTGTTTTAGTGCCACGTTAAAAAAAAATTATAATAATAATAAATCTAAAATTAAGAGATTAAAGTCTTAATATTTTATGAGAAGAAAGCCATGTTATATTGCCTGTATAAAGTTAATTAATGTGAAAAAAAGCCAACTAACCTTGCATTCTTCACATGGATTCAACATGAAAAACAGCAATAAAATGAAGTTATAAAGTTTGAAGTATGTACAATGTTGGCAAAGAATGTTTTGTTACGACAGTTATGACGATTCACAAGCTATTTTATTGACCTATTTAATTTTTTTACGAAACATTGATTGATCGATTACATGAGACTTGATTACATTCATTTTATTAAAGTGTTCTGATTTTTGTCAACATGCCTGATATTCATTAATGTTTGTTTCGTGCTATAACTAGTAGAAAAGAGGAAAAGATGATTGATTCACCACTTGAACTGAGGTGAATACAATGATCTCACGCAACATTAAAGAGAGTAAAAACACATTATTTGTTTGTATTCTGTGATAAAATTGACAGAATTGAAAGGTTGAGACTTTGTGTTATATTAAAAATAACAAGCACAAAGCCTATTGCGATTATTAGGTGGCTGACGCACTACTACTAATAAATGGATTTGAAAACGTTAAGTATTATTTCCAGGCATTTATACCATCAATAATACAGCTTGTGAATAGTCACGTAACATAATTTTCCTCAGAAAAGACAACAATAAGCTAACATAAGTTAAGTCAGGAAGGATAAGGAGAGAGCAATTGTCTGTGACCACCACCTGCAAAACCATTTCCTTTTTGTTGTCTTGCTTTTGCCTCTCTAGTGCATCTGTTGTCACTTGCACTAAAGAATATCAAACTGATTCACAATCACTTCTGCTTCCTATCCCTGTTTAATTGTCTGGTGTTATACTGTGATAATTAGGTGGTCTCTTAATTGTTTTGAGCTGTCTTTATACATGTACACACACACACACAGCAATGAAATGTGCCCTTTCTCTTTCTCATGCTTGATTCAGGCACTAAACAGGGGCATCGCTTCTGTGAAAGAGGACAGGGTTGAGATGTTGGCCAGCTATGGTCTGGCATACTCGCTTATGAAGTTCTTCACTGGACCCATGAGTGACTTCAAAAATGTGGGACTCGTGTTTGTCAACAGTAAGAAGGAGAGAACCAAGGCAGTCCTCTGTATGGTTGTGGCAGGGGTCATTGCCATCAGCCTCCACATCCTAATAGGTGTGTTTGTCCTGTGAATACAATTTCTAGTTCACTAGATTTCTTCATTGGAAAGCCTTTATTAAAAACTGTCACATTTCCCCAGCTTACACAGATCTGGGCTACTACATCATAATTAAGCTCCACCATGTGGATGATTCAGTTGGAAACAAGACGAGAAAGGCATTCCTGTACCTCGCAGTATTTCCATTATTAGATGCAATGGTGAGTAAGAACTTCATATTAAAACTTTAACGTGAGATTCAAGATTAGAATAGTTTTTGCTGCATACTTTGCTTACATACAATTTTTGGTGAAATATCATGGGCTATGCAAAGAAAATTTAATTGAATTTGATTTGTGTAAAAATGCAGTAAATCTTGCAGAGTCAAACAAGAGGTGTAAGAATCGCAGCTAATTGTTATTATTGTTATTATAAAATGCAAATGGAGGGTCACATTTAGCACATTGCATTGTGGTATACAGAATTTTGAGCACTATATTCTGTATACTGCAGTTGTTGGCAGTTTTATTATTGTATAGTTTCCATGTGGTATTCCATGCATGCAGATAATTAACTGTACGCAGTATGCATACTGCAGAAATAGTCAAAGTAGTATGGTACATACTTTTTTTCATTTGTATTCATTTGATTTTGCTCCAAAGGCGTGGATTCATGCTGGAATCCTCCTGAAGCACAAGCACAGCCTGCTAGTGGGATCTGCCTCCATCTCTGATGTTGTTGCACAGGTTGTAAACTCTAAACTCTGCTGTATGCTAAGTTCCTGTCATCACCCCTTGTGCCACGATTGAAAAAAAA